TTCTGGGATGGGAGAATGGAGAAAAGAAGGAAGGGAAAAGAAAAAATATAAAAGATAGTTAAGATAGCTATACTATTTATTTCTCAGTTCATTGAAAAGAAAGGTTTGTGCTAATATTATTGGACAATTACATGCTGATTTGAGTATCCAATTTAAATATAACAATATGCAATGTATTAACTATTGTTACCCTTCTATTATTTTGTTTGAGACTAGCCTGGGCTATAAAGTGAGCCCAAGTTCAGTCTGAACTGCACAGTGAAACCTTGTCTCAGAAAGACCACAAAAAAAAAGGTAAAAATTTCCTTGATTGTCAGGTAATTTTCAATTTTATTCTTATTGACTGTATTCATCTGGTAGGTGATCACATGGCAAATTCAAACACAATCAATTCTTCTGGTTTATGTCTCTTTAAGAAAGATTATTTTTAGAATCTTTTTTCATATTCTACTGGTAGAATGGAATATCCTTCTCTTTTCTAATAACATTTCAAATGACTGAGTAGCATAGGGACAATACACCTTTGCTTCAGATTTATAATAATAAACAAGGGAGTTTACAGAACTCTACAACAGGTATTTTTCAAAAAAGGGAATCCATGGATAATTTTATGAGTACTAAAATAGCAAAAATAGAATGATTTCACTCAAAGTCCTTAATTGTATTACAAATTCAATTTTTCTTTATTCATACATGCCACAATTTTAGGTTCTAGAAAAACCATCATTTCATTTCGAAGCAAAGTCATTCCATGACTATCACATTAAAAGCTTTTTAACTGAAGAACTCGAACACTTTTACCTTCCTTCTGAACATCTTAACTGTATAGGGTTATATCTAATGCAGTTCAAAAAAGAAAGGACTGTGTGTTCAGATTTAACACTGAATTTTAGTTTTGCAAACACTTTCAACTCAAAAATTTTATTGGCTCATATTTAACTCTACTAAAGCTATTCTACTGGCATTATTTTTACACAGAACTCTGATCTGAAATCTTACTCCTACCAGAGGAGATACTGAGAATTTATTTACTAATGTAAATGTTAAGATAAAAATTAAGCAAATTGTATTTAAAACATAAGCTCATGAAATGTATTTAAAATGAAACCTGCTTTTCAGAATTTTAATAAACATGCAACATGACATGTAATACCATTAGCTACAAGCTGATGAATTGAGCCTAACTGAAAATATAACCATAGAGAATAAGTGGGCAGAGTTTTCATAGATTACATGCAATATCTTCTAAAGTCTAATGTATCCCTATATACTTATTACACAATTACTGAAATACTATAAACCCAAAGGGCAAAGAATAAGCAAAAGAAATACAACCCTGAGCCAACTGAGCAAGGTGATTTGATGAATCATTTTGGTATTAGTTTAAAGTAGGGAAAAATTGCATCCATATTACAGTTATGAGAAAAATACATAGAGTACCATCCCTTGTGAGACATAGGTGGAAGCTATGGTGAATTTCCAACACATGCACTTTCTCACGAGCCTTTTGCTCCTCTTGCTTTCCTCCCATTGTCAATACATTCACTCCCACTCTTTCCCAGAAAAAAAGTCAGGCACTGAATCCTAGTGAACCCCACATCTGCTCATTTAGAGAAGGTTAAGAGAATGCTAAAATAAAATAAAATGTGTACTGCCTCACCCACAACATTGAAAAAAAGCATTTCTGTAAAGCCAATTCTAGCTCCTTTGCCTCTTCAGAAATGAAATGACGCAAATGCCCACTACAGTTTAAAATTGCAGTTTAAAAATCTTAAAAACAAAACTTATAGTCAGGTGTGGTGGTGCAGACCTTTAATCCCAACTCTTGGGAGGCTGAGGCAGAAGGATCAGTGCAAGTTTGAGACCAGCCTGCTCTACAAAGTGAGCTCAAGGCCAGCCTGAACTGCATAGTGAAACCTTGTGTCAGAAACAAAAAACAGAAACAAAAACTTATGCTTCTCTTGCTATGTCTTGAAGTAAGATGAGCAGCAGAAAATTCACAGTAAGACTAATTGCTTTATCTGCTATTAAAATACATTTGCCACTTATTTTTGGTATCAACTTAGGTATAGTTCAATAAGAAAAGTTTATGAATCTTGAGCCTTCTCATGGTAAGTGTTGCAGTACCACATAAAACCTGCCACGGTTGGGCAGGCTCACAAAACACCAAGCCTGCGTGTGTTCCTGGGGAACATTACCTGAAGATCATAGCATTATAACGTTACCAGAGATAATGTAAGTAGAGTTAAATGATTACAGATATTTGTGTTTCCACCTAACACATCCTGGTAATGAAACTAACCAAATCATACAGCCTTACTTTCCCTGAAAATAATGTGAGTCTGCCTACTAAACAGGCTGACCAATGTGGTTATCAATCCACTTCATTAAAGGTTGAGCTGAAAAACAGAAGGCTGACATCATCTACCAGCAGCTTATCATGTTCAAAGAGATCAAGAGTTCTTGGTTTTTGCAACATCCACTGTCCCAAAGGCCAACACCATTGAGGAAGAAATAATTTGCATCATAAAGAATACTGAACTTGAACTGCATAACCCATAGGACTACCAGGACAGGCAAAAGACAAAACAAAAACAAAAAGACAAACAGGAATCCTCATCTCCACAATTGGTTTGGGTAAAACCTGGTTTTTAATCTTAGGACAGTTTCTCATAAACTTTTCAACCCTAAGTGTATTTTGTTAACACTTTAATTACAAAGATGTTAAATTTGTAAATATTTTTAATCTATCACTTTATAATTTTACTTAATGCTAACTTAAAGATCATGGGCAATTTTACTAAGGCAAGATCATACTAATAACATTAGTCTATGGTTTAAAGATTTCTTACTATTATTTAAAAAGTTTATGGTAATATTTCACTTGATTTCAACTAGTTCTACATAATTTTACCTAATTCCCTTGACCAAGGTATTAGGCATATTTTTTACAGCCCTCATTTTGGATAAATTTCCTGAATTATTTGCCTATAGCAGATGTTAAGTTTTTAATATTTAATGAGCATATCTTTACAGTTGGAAGATACTTAGACTGATTTTTAAAAAATTTTCCATGTAGCATTTTACATTTTGATTTAAAAAGGATATTGGGAAAGCTGTGCTTTATCATTCTCATAGGACACTAGAGTTATTTGTAAACAGTCTGATGCTTTTATGTTTTGCTAGGTATATGTAGATAACTGTACTTTCCAGACCATAACTCAAATTTTTAAAATTAGAGTTATAATTTGTGATACTTGAGATAATAATTCTCAATATCCTGATAATAAATATATATATATATTTTAAAATGGAGTTAAAGTAATTTTGAATGGAATAAGTACCCAAACATAATATACAGTACAATGTCATCTTTAGAAAGCTCAAAGTTAGCAAAACTACGCAATACATTGTGATCATATACATAATATATAATATATAATATGTATATCTTGCCAATATTTTTATTACATATTGCTATATATCTATATATATATATTTGTATATATAACAAAAATATTGGCAAGATCTACGATTGCTATAACCTCACTATGGCGAAAACATGAGGATGGATTTTAATACACAATTTAGCGGTAAATTAATGGGATAAATGAATGCATATACATACATATATGCCTCATTATGAATATTATTTAATTTTTAAGTGAGAGAAAATGAGAAGATTTAGATTATTTAGGAACAAATTCATAGTGGATGTATAAGAATTCCTCTTTTAGTTGGGAAAACATTATTTTAAAACTTTAGAACATTGTGTATTTTGACTTCACTTTTCATTGTGTTATTTAACTAATAGTAACTATTAAGTGATTTGTTTTCTGGAATTCCTAATTGCCACACAATATGTCAAACCATCTTTTCTAATAACGTTTTATGTGTTTGTTTCACTATTTTATTTTATCTTAAACAATGATAGAGTGATAATACTAGTTTTATTTAGTTAATAAGAAAAAGAAAATCTCAAATTATCCTGCTCATATTTGTATTGGTGACTTGTGGTCATATTTTTCATCAATGAATGCATTATTCCTAGAGGAATATTTCTGGAATTATTTTTTCTTTTTACAGAGACTAGGTGAAAGTGGACTCGGATATTCACTAAATCATGCGGGGAAAAAACCCTCTCCTTTTTAGTAAATCAATAGTGTAGAAAACAAGAACAACTTTAATTACCAAAGTCTGGAGGAGAGAACAATCTCAATTTCATATTCTATTTTGAATAGAATGAAAAAAACACATTACCATTTTCAGCAGGCTAGAGTACACAAGTGAAAGAAATAAAATTGATATAAAAGTTTGTTTCATAAAACATCAAACCATTTTTTTTCATATTTAAGGAGATGGGACATTTGGCTCATCAGAATATATTCTGAAATATTTTTTTCTTTGCTAGGTTCTGAAGGCCTAGTGTTAACAAGACAGATAGGCAGGCTGTCTAGTTATAGTTGGAAGGTCAACCCTTCCCATTGCTAGTTTTTTTTTTTTTTTTTTTTTTTTTTTTTGGCCTTTAAATAAAAGAAGAGCCTTGCGATATAGCTCAGCAGCACAAGCACCTGCCTGGCAAGCATAAAGTCTTGAGTTCAAAAATAAAATAAAATAAAATAAAATAAAATAACAACTTGTCTTGAGGATTTGGAAGATAAAGGAGAAACAAATAAAAGGCACAAGTAAACTAAGCTTAACTCAGAAGTATGAGTTCCAAGAATCTAGTCTGAATTCAAGCAGAGGTTAAAACAAAATGTCTAATCCTTTGAAAGAGCTCATTTGACTTAATTGATTCTCAAATGCATATGATTTGAGTAAAAATTAAAAAATAATTTAAAAATTTAAAATCCTTTCAAAAGCCACCTTGAAATAAAATTAACCCAGAAAGCAAAATTACCCTTAGCTTTCATTAAATGAAAGAAGCAACTGATAACCTTTTATGTCTAACATATTCAGTTTCATTTTTGATTTGACAAAACAAACAACCTTTACTGTACCTGACGAGGTGTTCTTTCTGATTTACTCCTACACCATTCCCAATCTGAAAGGTCTGGTTTCTGACTCTCTTCATGCGATAGTCTTCTTTCTGGACCTTCGTAAAAGGTGGCTTCTTCGTAGTTAATATTACTTCCTGTTTTGTCTGAAAATGCACACTTTTCTTCATCAGGAACTTGCTTAGCCTCTATAACATCAGTATTTGTGCATTTGTTAATGCCTTTTAGTGTGGAGCTGTCCAGAGAGGGTGTGGTGCTGATTTCTACTTTTATGGTGTTGAAGATATTACAATTGTCTCTCTGAGAATCTTTTGTAGTTTCACATTCATAATTCATCAGGTTGTGGTAGGATATAGAGTTTTCATCATCATCATAATAATCTTCATGTGCTATTTTATAAACTCCATAACTTCGTTGGAATGACAGATTGAATTCAAAGCCTTTTCTATTGGCTAAGTGAAAACAATAACAAAATTTCACTATTAGTAAAGCAGATGTAAGCAAAAATAAATATATACAGTGAATATAAATAGAAAGTACATTCAACTTAATTATTATGAGTTAAAGTTACCTTCAATTACTTCTTGTCAATTATACAGAACAATTACACCTTTCAAGATCAAATCATCATTCTATCTGAGCCTAATTTTTCTCATTTGCACAATGATGGGCTTGAAATACATACAATCAGAAAGAACCAGAACCTTTCCAGTCTCCATCTTTAACTTTTTGTTTTTGATTTTTTGAGATAGAGTCTTGCTAAGTAGATCAGGGTAACTTGACCTCACTATGTAGCCCATGCCAGCCTCAAACTCACAGAAATCCTTCTGCCTTGGCCACCAGTGTTGGAATTACAGGTGTGCACCATCAGAACGTCATTACAGGTTAGAAAATTCAGGTTTTTTCAGTTTTAGATTTTTATTTTGTCAATTCTACATTTATCTTGGGATATGGTTTATAAATTTTACTTTCTAGCAATTATTAGTAAGTGACTTGAAGATTATAAATTATTCAGCTAAGAATTCCACCAACAAATATAACTGCTTTAATCCCTACATATATACTACTTCTGGTATTTGCATGTTTATAAACTCATACATTAAATATTAGACCACGTTGCTATACAACTTTTAAACTTTTCCAAAATAAATGTGCATTCTGGTAAAACGAATTTGGAGCAAATTTGTAAAACACGAATGAGTGTATATTTCTGAACTGAAGCATTTTGCATTGTCTATGAGAGTGATTAATTATAAGATGAGGTTAGCAGGAATGTATGAAACATAAATACACTACTATTCTAGATATAGTATCATTGGTGGATCTGATGCAAAGTCAGAATAACAGTAAGAATGTGGTAGAAAATAATATTTTTGTGTGAATCGCTAATCTTTATATATTAAGAATGAATTTAGAGCAAAGTGGAAACCAAATACAATTTAATGTTCTGGTTTTCATTTTTTTAAAATCTAGCTTTTTTTAAAGAAATTTTAAACTTTGGTAGTTATGTGTTTTATAGTCAGATACTATCTTTGGCAAAATATATTATGAAAAGCTGTAAAGTTTGTATGGGAATAATATGTAAAATTTGATTCACTCCACAACATAACCTAGTGCTATTACATGATTCTATTAACGCTGAAATGTTCCCAGGATGGAAGACTTACAAACTAATTTTCTTGACTGAAAAATAGAATTTGTCAGTGTCGTTTGTTATTGTTTGAACTAGAATACAAGAAAAATTTCTATTCAAATAGAATGGAGAAGAAAGAACAGATGATCATATTTTGTATCTTGTCTCATTTATATTTGTGTTACATTTACAAGTTATGTAGCCTGGTAAAATTAACTTAGAATTTTAACCTAGTTTAAGAATCTGAAAAGTAAAGACATTAGAAGAATGATTTAATTATGGATGGGGTTCCCTTTACTCCTAAAAAGATATATGTGACATGTTGGCAACTCAAGACCATTGAGGAAACAAAAATGTCATAGTCTCAATTTTATGATTAATAGTTGATAAAATTGATGTCTGTGACTATATATTTTATTAGTTGTGCATAAATCTGAAATGTATGAAGTATAAATGAGTAACATTTTCTTTTTTTTCTTTTTTATCCATACCGGGGATCAAACTCACAACTGCCTGCTTGCAAGGCAGGTGCTTATGCTGCTGAGCTAAATCCCCAGCCCCAAGTAACATTTTCTTAAGAGTGTATGTTAGCGGAGAACATGTCTCCATGTGACAAGATGCAAGAGGCAGTCACAGATAAACTATGAAAACAAAGTCGGATTGTGATTGAGACTATGAAGTGATAAATATTCTAAGCCTATATAGAATATATCCTTTAACATATCAGTAATCCAAAAAGTTTATTGGTCCTATTTCATAGTTGAGAATACTAAAGTTAATAAGCTAAGACTATCTATCTATCTGGTAAAATGATTTGAAATTTAAGCTAAGACCAGGATTTGAGTAAATTACCCTTTATATGAAATTGCTTACTGCTAAGCAAATTTAGGGAAAAAAACCTGTTACTAGAAGTGGAATGATCAAGATGGGTCATTTTTGGGTCAGAAATATATCAATTATAAAATATAAGCAATGAAAACATTTTCATTAATTATTTTTCTAAACACAAAAGGGTAAGTTCTGACTGAGGTAACTAATGGGGATAATAGGTTATAACTATTACAGAACTGAGAATTTTAACTACAGGTTGATGTGTGTGTGTGTGTGTGTGTGTGTGTGTGTATTTTACTCTTAGAAAAATATGTTAAAAATGACAGTTTAAAGCTATGCTAATGTATAATCATAGTAAAGACTAAGTATCTTTAGGCTCCTCAAGGCAAAGACATTTAAATAAATTTTGCAAGTACTAGGAAATTGAACCCTAGACCTTGTACATTCTAAGCAAGCACTCTATCACTGAGCTACCTCACCAGTCCTTTAAAAAAATTCATTTTTTTTGTGACAGGGTTTCATTAAGTTACCAAACTTAATGAAATTTGTGATCTCCTGGTTCAATCTTTTAGTAGCTGAGAGTACAGGCATGAACCACCGGCCAGAGGACTTTATTAAAATTATTAATAACAAGAAGGAAAAAAACTCAAATGTCAATAGGGACCAAGTAAGTAATAACAAAGGCAAATGCTAGTATATTATTCACCTTTAATACCACTCCCTCTCTTTAAAGATCCAGCTAATTGTTGTGGCAGATGGAGATGGAGGCTGTTTTGACAGCTATTCTGATTTTTTAAAAGAAATCAGATGCATAGGTTGTGTGTGTGTGTGTGTGTGTGTGTTTGAGACAGGGTCTTGCTATGCAGTTTGGGTTGGCCTTGAACTCATTTTGTAGCCCAGGCTGGTCTTGAACTTGCAACAATCTTCCTGCTTCTGCCTCCTGAGTGCTGGAATTACAGGTGTGCAGCACCATGCCAAGCTTGCATAGATTTTTGATGTGAAATATTCTTATCTTAAAATTTTGGCCCATAATTAAGGTTGGTTAAAAGTAACTCAACACTTATTTAAAAGCCACGTCTTAAGCTAATTTCATGTGAGTTTAAAAAATACATGAAATTCAGCTCAAAGATCATGAATTGGGAACTTTTGTTTTTTACTAAAAATGCAGTATAGCGCTAGATGCAAAGTGACAATTCCTCAAATAAGTATTTGTACAATGAGGGCGTGAGAGAAGAAGCAAAGTGACCAGCAGGAATCATGCTTGGCATAATAGGGAGAATCACCCAGTGATTGTAGCTGAATAGAATATGATTTCTAAAAATATATATATAAATTTTTATTTATTTATAGGATACAAACCTTGATAGCACTGGGATTTCTGACTTTTGCTTTAATGCTCACAAAGCAAATAACCCTAATTTAATTAGCTTTAAAACTTTTGTGTGGAGATCTTTCATTAACTAATCCCTTTCAAGAAATTTAAAGTCTAATATATTTTGAAGTTTACATGATGCTTCTGAAAAATAAATATAATGCTGCGTTTGTTATGCAAAGCAAGAGCTTCACTGTTTCCAACTTTAGATAAAACATGAATTAACTCTAGTCTTTTGTTTTTAATTATGTTTTGTCAATTACCACTTTGGACATACTCACATCATATTATAAAAATGAGTACTTTTGCAGAGTGATATCACTAGACACTTCGATTTTGTGAAAAGAGGAAAGGTAAAAATTTGATTTTTATATGAGTTTTAGCTGTTCTTATAACTTGAAAAAAATAAAACATCTTGCCAGGGAAACCAACCGAGTTTGAAAACCCTACCCAGCCCATATGTCTACTGTGAGAGACCTCTGTGTTAAAAAAATCACTGAAATGGGAAGGAGAATGAAAGATAGGGGTAGAGGGGATAAAGAAGAAGGGAAAGGAAAATAAAAAGATGTAAAATGTGTTATGTATTTGTACTAATTCCTCACAATGGGTGTAATAATTGTGTACTGCAAATGTGTACTAATACAAATAAAAATATTAAATTTTAAAAACACCCGTTTGGAGATATGATTAACATAGATTATTGTTGGGCACAAGAGAATTCATTCTTATTTCTGCAAACTACCTTTTAGTGCTGAAATTCAATTTCTGTTTGCATGTATCTCAGTTCTCACTCACTGAAGCTGAAATGTAGAATTATATGTATTTACACCTGCCATTTGAATCTACTGCAAATATGAGCTAGAAAAGATATTTCCTTTCCTTTCTTCTGTAACACACAGGTAAGTATTGTAGAGAAGGATATATTGGTTTGGTTAGGAGAAAAGGTTTAAGCATAGAACTCCTGAAGAATGAAATCTGTGGTGCCAATCAAACAATTAGCCTATCTGCTGGGTCACCTGTGGGACCTTAGAACTCTGTTGTGTCAACCTAGCAATAGGACATTTACAGAGGCTTATTATACAGTGAAAATCCATTTTTAACTCCCAGAATTTCCCTATTGCCTTGCTTGGATAAGAGGAACTAGAGACATTTGAACTATAAACATCTTAACCTGTATTTCTTACCATGTTTTATTTTTAAAGTGCTACATCTTCTAAGACAAAACTTTGTATTTTAAGTCCTCCTCTGGAATTTTAAAATAAATTAAAAGTAATGTAGATTTTAGAGGAATAACAATAACAATAATTTGATCTTAAAAGATGTGCTCTTAATTTAAAAAGGTTAGCAAGGGTTCTGCTAGCTTGATTGTAGTCTCTTTTATCTTGTGCAGTGCGGATGATATACAATTGACTGAGACATCTGCAATGATATTACTTTGTTTTGTTTTCTGTTCTGATAGGGCATGCCTCAGTTTTTAAAAATGCCTGTCCAAAAACACTTACTTAATACTTGTCATTTACCTGGCATGCAGATTATTATCTTCTTCATAACCTTTACAGTTTTACAACAAGGATGATTCAATAGTTTAGTGGCAAAATACTAATCTTTGTTAGACTGTTGAATCAAATTTGTAAATAATTCCTTACTGTTACATGGATTTTCTTTTGATAGAACTCATGACCTCATGCTTGCCAAGCAGTCTCTTGTGCCACTGTGCTAAACCCCTGATTGTTACATGATTGTCATAAGTACTTTTATTTTTAATTTTCCCTGCGTTATTTCTCTGTACATTAATCTTTAGGAGCATATCATTATAAGTTCTACCATTACTTTAAAGACAAATGAATTTAGTATCCTTTTTACAAACTTTTTTATAACATCCTTAAAAATACTTTTTACTTGAAAAATGTCTAGTTATTTTACCTTTTAAATGTTAATGAATACACAAAATGGCCCGTCTGTGACTAATATTTATAAAATAGCTTTGTTGTGGAATTGATAGTGGAATGTACTTGATTACACTCCAATTTTCACAACCTTAAAAATACCTTTCTTCCCTGTCAAAGAATTTGTTTATTCTGAGCAAATGACAATTAGTAGAACAGTTAATTCAGCATATATTAATACATTCTTAAATTTATTAGATGGCAGAATATTCTGTCTTTTGCCTGGAACAACAACATAGTATCCTTTTCCAATATGCAGCTCATCCCTCAACTTTTTCTTTAAAATGTGGGAAAAATTATGTAGTAGAGTTTGATAATTAGCCCTGTCTCCCAGTGCCATTATTGGTGAATTCTTCAACACACACACGTGCACACACACATATAGATACATACACACTGCATATATATAACATATATATTATATATGTTATATACAATACTATATATGCAGTGTGGTATAGATGAATATATAGCTATGGTTAAATTCATACATGAACACCCAATGTCAGATTCCACCATTTGTATTCCTTTTATTCCTTGGAATTAAGGGATTTTGTGCTTTGGTAATAACAAAAAATAATTTGGGGACTATTTGCAGGCACTCTTACTACTTTAAAAACTTTCCAGAATCCTTAAGTAAAACAAGGAACAAATTAATGAAACCATTTTTCTTCCTGTTGCATTGGAAAATAATGGATTATACCAATAAGTTTTGCCCGGGATATAGCTCAGTAGCACAGAGCCTGCCTGGGCAGCTCGATTGTGATTTCGATTCAGGTATTAAAAAAAATTAACGATAAGTTTTTAATTCCTTTCAGGACATGAAAAATCTCTTTTTAGATGCAGGTTTCTTAGCAAAGTCATTTTTCCATAAATTGAGGAGGACATTTACTATTTATTCTGGTCTACAATATACTAGATACACTCTCTGGTTTCCTTTGTTTATCCCATGTTGCACTGAATAATTTCGTCTCTTTCTCTCTTACCCAAAATAACCAGCAGTGCAAATACTTTCTGGAGTTGTTTGAAGCATGACTTCCTTTACAACCCACCACGACACCAGGCTGAGAATTCATCAACTCTTCTTCACTGTTCACCGGTTAGATCTGTCCCTGTGCTCTTCCTCCTCTGCTCAGGTACTTATCCAGCAGAGCCCTTCTCTCTTTGATGGCATGTGTATTGCTCAGAATCACCCCACCGTGGAGGACTTACTTTTTTTCCTATCAGATGCCTCGGGGTAAGTGTCCTGCCTGCAGTTGATGATGCAGCCACAGGGCAAGTGGGTCCAGCGTTTGGACAAGACAAACACTGGGGTCACAGTGGCAGCCAGCAGGGTGAGCAGAAAGCCGAGGGACTCGAAGGGAAGGCACTGAACTCCCGCCACGTGCTTGACCACCATATGGATCTGGAAAGGCCAAAGAACTTCAGACCTCGCTCACTAGCTCATTTTCCACTTCCCAAGCCTCGCCTGCAAACACACAGCCCCAGTCCTCTTCTACAGTCCCCTTTCCCGGGACAGGGCTGGAAGTGTCGTCCTGGGCCGGAGCTGTGGAACTCAGGGATGGGCCATCGGGAATGGACAGGACGCACCTGGCCTCGCCAGTCCCCGGGGTACTGGTACTTTTTGCTCCTGAGTGGGTCTGCACCCGCTGCGAATTAAAAACTCATGGCGTGAAGCACAGCATGAAGCTGCTACCCAGGGAAACAGGCAGGGGTCCGGGGGGGCCGTGGCTGCACCTCAAAGGCCTTGGCCACCGCAGGAGCCCGCGGCTGCACCCTGGCGCTCCAGTGCCTGCAGGACGCCTCCGCCGCTCCTCAGCCGGGCTCCTCCCCGAGGCTCTACTCGCTCCGCTCCGGCTCTCACACCTCTTCCTCTCCCTGCTGGGGATCGGATGCGTCCTCACGAGCGGAAATGGGGCAGCAAGGGACGCAAAGGGCAAAAGGAAAAACCTGTTTTTTTTTTTTTTAAAACCCTCGCTCCTTTTTTGAATAGTCCTAGATTTTGCTGTGAAGCACGAGAACACGCTTGACCACGACAGAAAACTTAAGTGGCTGGAGACCCAGAGTGCTCCTCTACCCCTCGGTTCTGAAGAGGTAGCCGGAAATGCAAAGGCTCCCCGGTGACCAGCGCGACCCCGGAGCTGCCTCCCTTCAAAGTGCGTCGCTGCCACGCGAAGAGGACCGAGCTGCGCACCTCGGGGTGCCCTCCCGGCCAACCCACTGGGCTCCACACACCCACACCGCCCGCACACACACACACACCCGCGTCAGGAGCAACGGCAGGCACTTTTACCATCAAGGGCAGCCAGAGAACGACTTTTGTCAACGCTAGGATCAAAGCGAAGCGCTTCTGCGCTGTGCTCCTGGCGAAGCTCCTGGTGCCTGGCTGTCCACGCATGCAGGCTCCGGTCCCGGTCCTGGTCCCGGCGGCAGCCGCCAGATCCGGCCCAAAACCGGAGTCTGAGCTCGGGAAGCACGCCTTAGGGCCGGGCGGAGCGGGCCCTGCAGCATCCTCCGGGGACAGGGACAGCGCTGTCCCTACAGTAGGAGGGGTCCCCGGAGTGGAGGCTCTGCGGGAGATTTCCTGGTAGTAGGCGTGGAGTCTCTGCGGCTCCTCGGAACACAGCAACTGATGAATGAGCGGGACCGAGAGGCCAGCCAGGAGTCCGAAGGCCGAAGCATACACGGCGAAGAGGAGCAACACGTAGGAGCTGGAGCAGTCCACCAGACAGCCCCAGGGCGTGCGCACGAAGGCGCCCCAACCACAGAGAGGGAGCGCGGAGAGCACCAGGCTGGCTGCCCACACCATCAGCGCTGCTCCGAGCACCTGGCCGGAGCGTTTGGATGCTGCCTGACTTTCCGCAGCCCTGTGCATTGTGTAAAAGTTATAGGAGACTAGAAGAGTCGCCTTCAAGTTGCTCGAGAGGCCCTGGCATAAATACAGTAAGGCAGAGGTGGTGCACAGAGACTGGAAGTAGCCAGGGGCCTCTTTTGGCCACTGCAAATACATGAAGATAGTCACAGAGAGAACGCTCATGAGATCATCCACAGACCAGGACGCCACAAGCATGGACACAACAGTCCTCCTCTGCAATTTCAGCAGAGAAACTAGTGAAAAAATGCTGCCTGTCAGAGCTGCAAGAGTCATTGCACATGTCAAGCAAAAAAGACAGATATTTAGAGTTCCTGGAGAATTGGAAAGGTCCGTAGAATTATGGTTGTTTCCCCACAGGCTAGAGTTACTAAAAGACATTGTACTTTACCAATATTAATTTCCCTTCTCAGTGAGTCTGATTCTCTCAAAAGAAAGCATGGCTGCTGCAAATAGATGTCATTTCTCCCACCAAATTTCTCTTTAGATGTTTCCCTGGTCAGTCCTGTGGAAAGCAGTCAGGCAAATGTCCTTTAGATCTGACTCAACCCGTGTGTAAAAACTGGGTTCCAATTCAGGCATCAATAAAAGTTTTCAATATTCCAATGAAAAACAATCAAGCCCAAAAATCCCTTCCACCAAATTTCAGGTCAGGAAGGCAAAACTTCTCGGATAGATTAAAAAACAATGATGGCTGGATCTTTTTGGGTCCTCTGGAGCAAGCAGCTCCCAGCTTATCAAAACTCTATTCACTTCTAAGAGCAATAAAATGCATTTGGTTCCGGAGGAGCTAAATTCAAAGGCAGAGAGATTATCAGTTAGGTTTCAACTCTGATGGCAGGAGAAGAGGGAGAGGTAGAAGTGGGGAGAGGGAGATAGAGAGAAGAAAAAGGAAAGGAAAAGGAAGAGAAGGAGGGAGGGTGGGAGAGGGAGAGGGAAAGAGAGAGAGAGAGAGAGAGAGAGAGAGAGAGAGAGAGAGAGAGTCAGTCAGAGGGAGCCAGAGAGCAAGGCTCCCACCCGAACCTTTGTGTTCTTCAGTCAGCCTGTGATCCTCAGAGCTGCAGGAAGGAGGAGTCAGCAAGCAGGAGAGAAATGGAGAAAAGGGAGGGGAGCTCAGTCAGAGTACGAACGAAATGATGTATATCTCCTCAGCCTGCCTCATTCTAACCAAGAGTCCTCGAAAAGCCTTCCCCTTTGGTTTTGACCTACAAAACCAGACCAAAGATTTGCTCTTGTGAACTACAAATATCACCTTTGAGAGATCTGAGTTACTCTCATAACTCCTCCTTTTATTCTTATCTGAACTTCCACATTTCATAATCCATTGAAGAAAAAAATATCTTCAGTGCCATGTGTAAGAATGAGATGTGCCAGAAGTTTTTAATAAACAGATTGTGTCAAAAAGCTAGTATCACATATTCTTATTTGTGGAAGCTAAAAAAATTGATCACATAGAAATAGAGTAGAATAGTGCTTACTAGAGGTTAGAAAGGGTAGGGGCAGGGGCACAGAGGTTGGATAATGAGATGGGTCAAGATATAGTTAGAAGCAGCTGCTACTAGTGTTCTATACTACAGAAGAGTAACTACAGCCTAAAACAAGCTTTTATAGACATTAAAATGAGCAGAAGAGAAGCATTTGAAGTTTTCCCAAACACAGAAATAATCATCTGAGAAGTTAGAAATGCTAATTACCCTGGTTTGATCATTGCTCCATTTTATACATATACTGAATTATAGTGAACCCTATAAATATATGCAAATATTATGCATCAGTCAAAGTGAAAAATTGTATTTAAGAATGTTAGACAGTCTTTATTATATGAAGCAAGATTATGCAGGATCTCTGGGTGGGGTCATACTAGCTTTGCATTAAATTCTGTTATGATCAAGTAAAGAGGGTGTCATTTCAATAAATGGTGCTTCTAGTGTTTATGAGAGGTGATAACGTCATACATAGAGTCCGAGAGGAAGTCTACCTCACAAATAGTTTAAACCACATTATTTATGATATTATATACAATAGTTGCAACCCTGAATAGTAAATTTTAGAAAATGAATGGTTTAGCAAAGAGGTAACTGACAGCATTAGTTCACGTGGGCATTTTTTCTCAGGATGCTTTAGGATAGCATTTGTCCTCGCTCAGCCTCAGTATGATGGCTGCATTTCCTGAACGGAAATGGGAAGGGAGAAAGGAAAGTTGGTGTAGCAATAACTTAAATGAAAGAAAGTGGTACTAGAACTCTGATTATGCCTTTAATTTTTGGAATATCTGTAGCTATATTTTAAATCTGAACCCATTGCCAGCTATACCTTCCAATCAACATAGGGGGCAGTTTGCTTATCTTGCTTGATATGTTGGTTGATTTTTCCTTTCAATCAGCAAAATGGAAAGAAACAAAAATCCACACCAGGCGTTTAGTTTAGCCTTCTTCCGCCCCCTACTGGTAGAAATGCAGCCTGGGGCACTGTGAGTCCAAAGAGTTGGGGGGATTTTAATTTTGAAATGATTCAGAAATCACAATGATAAACAGGCGTTACTTTTTTTAAAAAAAATGTTTCCAAAGTTCTCAGATATGTTGTTTTGCTTCTTTTCACAGGCCATACTTTTTTGTGTCATAGAAAAAATACTATTCTTCATTATGGTATTTAATCTTGGATTTTCAGTTGGGTTGAACAATATCTGTCATAATTAAAATAGAATAAATGGCAATTAATAATGGTTGCTGAAATAAAATTTCAGGCCATGGAGGACTCCTTTTATTATTATTGTCATTTATGGATTTCCTATTAAATATAGATTTAGAAAGTGACACAACTACTATGTTGCCTTGGCCTCCAGGATATTATAGAAGCAAGAATGTTTATTTTAGCACAGTAGCAAAACTTGGTAGTAAAGTTGTAGTCAGAAGGAAATTAAAAGATAAATCTGAATTTGACTTCAGATTCTGATATTTCTGGGTGAATATTTTAAGTTCTTCCTGTATTGAGAATTAAACCCTAGATATTTTCACTGAGCTACATCCCGAATACTTTTTGCTTTTAAGTTTTGAGACAGTATCTTTCTACGTCACTAAATTATCCAAGTTGGGCTTCCATGTGTGATCTTTCTGCCTCAGTCTCTCAGACTGCTTGAATTAATCATACTCAGCTTCTTCAATAAAACTTCTTATGTTTTCTCTGAGTGTTTGTTTTGTTTCATAAAGGGTTTTGTGGATGCAGATGTAGTTCAGTAGGAGAATGCTTGCCTAGCAAGCATTGACTTTGCTCTGAAAAATAAATGATTTGATTGGAGTATTATTATTATTATTGTTGTTTGGTTCCAAGAATCAAACTCATGACCTCATGCTTGACAGGTAGGCACTGTGCCACTGAGCTAAATCCACAGCTCCCTGATTGGATTCTATTTAGAGAACTTTCCAGTTCTAAACTGGATCATATTGTTTTTAAAATTCAGTTTAATTTTATCTTAATTTTATTTGTTTGCATACCTCAAGCTAATCAACATAGTCATCTATGAGGTAAAAGTTATTAAGAGTAACGCTTGAGTTCTCGTTATTTTCAATCTTTCTCTGCTATGATAGGTTGCAGCTTCTTGTCATTATGAAAATGGTCTGAAGACTCAAGCAGTCTAGAATGCTGAGCTGTCCTGGACAATCTGTGAACCTATGGAAAGCTTTATATTGTGATAAGCAATATTTGTTGTGTAAATCAGCCCATTATATTTAGAGGTTGTTATTGAATGGCATCCTAATTCATTTAAATATGGTTTTAGGAAAACTTTTCACCTGTTTTGTAGATGGGACAGCAGAGGCTCAGAGAGGTTAAATGATTTGATCCAGGCTTCACATTAGTAAGTGGTGGAGATAAAATTTAAAATTGTAGTTGGAGTCTGTATTTTTAATTGGCACACATTTTTTAGTAACTTTTTCTTAGGTGTCCCATGCTTAGATACACTTCAAATGGATGTTGATTGTCATAAGACTTTAATTCTGCTTTCATTTTTATAAACCATGTTGGAAAGGTCTCATTTTCCAAATTTTTAAATTGTAATGTCTCACTAGTCTTTAAGATTTATAATAGATTATATATGTAAATAATAGAAAATGGGTATTTCTTTTTTGCATTATATATGTATTATGCATTATTAAAACATAATTTTATGCTTTATAATACATTATATATAGCATGTATATTTCATCGTGCATTATATAAGCCCATTAAATATTTGTTATATACATATGTATACATATGCATATATAAAAATAAATGTTGAATGTTAATAACAAAATTATAACACTTCTCTATTTTAAAACCATAGTACTATGTAACCAAAACATTTTTGAATTCTGTCCCAATTTAAGACTTTTACTTATTTTCAAATTGAATTATCTCACAAATTATCATATGTATACATACATCCAACATATAGTTCAAATTTTACAAATGTAATAAACAAATTCATAACATGTATAATTTTATATGTACAAGTATATTCAGTATGTATAACTGCATATAGTATATACTATATGTAATTGTATTATGCATGAGCAATATAATATACACACATACTCTATTTCAGCTGATTTTCAACACAATCACTAGGATTTACATCATAAAAAACTTCATGAGCTACCACGTATCTAGGTCCTCTATTACAAAAACATTTTTAAGACAGTTTTGCTAAATTGCCCCATACTGTATAATTTCCTACTATTATCACATCATTATGAAAAAGGACAGAATTCAATTTAGATCCAAGTCAGAGAGACTAACTTTTGAATATAATCTTCAGAGTCTTGATAAATGCACTGTAAGCCCAAAGGTAGCCCTAAGTGTTTGTGAGTATTGTTTTCTCAATTAAAAAATTCTGTATTTTTTAGCATACTCCATCGACGTAGTTGGAAGTAGGAATGTATGTGCACTGAGACACATATAAGTGTGCATATGTGTAATGTTGAACAACAAGAGGAAAAAGGCTTATCATAAATGATCACTGCTTATTCAATTTTACTCATTCATTCTATACATAGATCATGACTGTAGAAGTTGTGCAATATAACAAATAGTTGTTATAGAGAGCTGTATGAAGCTATTGAATAGATTCAAAGTGACTGAATTCATACCATACAATAAAATATAAATAACATACCACAAACATTTATTTACTGAACATCTAGTTGAGTCTCTAAAATTCAGAAGTCTACATTAAACAGAATATAATAATTAATGACCTTGTGAACATTGTTGAATAATTTTTTAACTTTTTAAAAAAATTTCCCCCCTTTGAGAAAAGTTTCATCCCAAGGGATTCAATACAATAAATATTTAGTGCCTGGGACCAGAATGTTCTGATACACATCAAATTGACCAACCCTTAAATTAGTAATGAGATAATGCTGAAGAGGGCCCTGTACTTTATTGTTTTGAAGTCCATTTGAACTGAAAAATTTCAAAGAAATTATTTCAGTCTGGTACCTCAGGGATAGAATACTATTGTGAACATTATTATCACTATAAATGATGTACATAAGAGTTCTGATACTAATTTTGTGGGTTTTTTTCATTAGGAAGCCGGTGAAAACTCTTTGCTAGCTATGAGAATAGGTTTTGGTTCTGATCTGCGTCAGCTTTCTCACCATTTTGCATAGCCTGTGTTTTTGATTATTATGTTTTGCTCCCTCTCACTGTTCCTGACCCATACTTGACTGTGCTGGGATATTTCTTTAAAACAGTCTTTCAGTCTTTTAGCATTTTCAGAAATATTTCAGTCTCTGGATCTGTAATTGTTCAATTAGCTTTAAGTACTGAAATGTCATCAACTGTGTTCCCAAATATTGCTGCTCTTCTAATTCTTTGCAGAATGAATACTACTCATTGCCCTGAATGCAGCTTTTACCTCTGTGCTCAGTGAGTGGCTTTGTTTTCTAACTGGAGCATCCTGGGCCTTATTTGAGTGTCATCATCTTGTCTTAAAGGACCAGAGTACCCAGAAATATATTTTATCTTATGTCTTTTGGCAGGAAGATTAATTTTT